CGGCGGTTGCCTGATCTAAACGGTCCACTACTGTGTACAAAAACCCAGGTGTGCCTGAACTTGAAAAAAGTAAAACAGTGACTTTTTTTTCTTTCTTTTTTCTTGTGGAAATGAAATATCAGTGTTAAAAATTGTTTATAGAAGTACAGATTTGAAACTCACCCATCAACTTGTTAGACGTGTTACTGAACATCCCAGGTTGTTTTATTGTTCGTTTGTTTTTCATTTGGTCAGTGTTACTAATCTTGTTTTTCTTTGAAAACATTTTAACCTGTAAAGATGAGAAAGATTTCTATACCTTTTTATTGCCAATGAAGTTTCCTAAAATCAGTATTTTATTGAGTTCTACGAACAAAAACCTCTGCACTACAGTATTCCTGGTTTACCTACGGATACATGCCTCATGCATTGTATGCCCTTCAGTGTTATATACGTACACTAGCTAGCGAGATGTTGTTTGTGTTAGTGTTAGTCTTTGCTAGCTAGCATTACTTTTGTTTTCAGTTTGACTGTTAGCCTTAAGGAAAACAAAGTATTATTGGGGAGGGTTGTGGGCGGGATGGGGAGTCTGGGAGGAGAAGGTGGCTTCCGTATGCCATAACCAAATGTTTCCTATCAGGGAAGGTGGAGTCACGATCTTAAAGCCAGCATCAGGCGCTCATGTTTAGCAACCCGGCGCAGCCTGAAATGGGTGGAGTCTCCAGGTGAAGATTGAAAGGCAGCCTCCACCTCGATTGGCTCAGCTGTGGTTCCAAAAACACATGCGCCCACTCTTACCGAGCTTCTCCTTATTTCTGAGTCAGTGTTTCAGTGTTACTAGCTTATATATGAAGTCATACTGTATGTGAAGGAACAGGGCTGTTCCCTGCTCCACCCCAATGCCTCCAGCCTTATGCAAGACCTGTGTGCTGTTAAAAGTGCCATTGAACAGTGTTATCATTTTCTTTCCTCACACATGTAGCCAGTATTATGTCCCTCTGTTACTTACACAAGACCCATATTGACTAATGTTTGGCGACTTGCACAGAACAGCTGATTTGTCACAATTGCTAAAATATACTTACTTGTGAAATGAATTGAAATATTTTAGGGCCTTAAGGAGAATTGTGGATGACACATGAAAGCTTGGAAACAGTATTAGGGTTTTAACTAACTTCAAGTGACATTTATATTGGATTTATTAACACTTTTCTTTTCATAAAGTTACAGAAAATAGTCAAAAGAGCCCAAGATGCAGTCTTCAGATGTCTTGTTTTTGCCGGAAAGTAATGTTAACATCTAAATATATTAACTTTACAGTTATATAAAACGACAAAAGCAGCAAATCATCACATAGGACAAGCTGGATATCAATCGATTAGTTTACTAAAATCTTTTAATATGTGGAAAGGTTTGAGAAATACAGTCCAGACTGAGCTAACCTGTGGATATAAAATACCTTGTAAATTTGATATAATCAGTTGATGTTTAAAGCTTTTTTTTAAAGAATATGTTGGACTTATGTCACAAGTCAGTTTAAATATGTTTACATAAAAATACAAAACCAGATACGTTAGTGATTAAATGAAGGATTTTTAAATTCAGCCAAACGTGTGCACTTGTATTCAGATGGTTAAAGATAAGAACGAAGAGTTGTGGCAAGCTGTCCCGCACTTCAGGTAACAAACGTTAGTGAATGTGGTCTCTGACAAAAAGTGTTTTCAGTTGCTTTTACCGAACAGTGTTTATAATATTTGTCTGTTTTAATTTCTTTGTTTTTTCATTCGTGTCCTCTGTATGTTTTTTTTCCTTTTCAACAATGGCAGTATTAGAACCCTTTTCACAGATAAAAAAAAAATGTACCCGTTTAGTTTTTAGAAAACCTTTTTATATTTATGTGTCTTATTTTTATATTTTCTTTTATGGTTATTTATTACACATTGTAGTGTACATTACTGTAGTTTGAATTGATACAATAATATATTTTAGTATGAAAAACAATCTCAAGACAAACTAAAAAAAAAAGCCCACAATGTGGTTCTGGGAGCTGAAGTTTGTTCTAACAAAAAACAAAAAAACATGAGAAACCTTGTATCCTGTAAACATGACTTCTGTTTTAAGCTTAAGAAAAAGAAAAAAGACAGGAATGAAATGAGAAATAGAAACTGTTACATGTGCATCCGCGCTTTGCGCCGTTCTGAAGCTACTGAATTCTGAACTCTGTGATTTTAAAAGCATGAGTCGTTGCCGTTTTAATGACGGATCTTGTTATGAAGCCTCCCTTTTTATTTCGAAAGCCAAATTAAGATTGTCCCGCCACAATGTTTTTCTGTTCTGTGCCAACTTGTTCCATTGTACTGTCGAAGGCTGCATAACGTTTGTTCTCACCCTTTGTAAATCCACTGTCTTTTTTGTATTGTTTATATTTTAGTTTTGCTCCATTTTTATGACTCCCCATCACAATAAAATATAAGAAAGCATTTCCGAGTTACTTCTTTCCCTTTGTACTTGGTATTTAAAGGTCCCATGTCATGGCCATTTCCACTGATCATAATTCCATTGTTGAGGTATACTAAAATAGATTTATATTGTGCAATTTTCCAAACTCACATTGGTTTCTCATACAGCATCTCTGTATAGTATGTGTATTCACCGGTATTCACTCTCTGTCCTAAACGGCTTGTTGGAGCTCCTGCCCCCCCTCCCTGTGAGCCCAGTGTGCTCTGATTGGTCGCGACGTTGAGAGGCTCGCTGCTGCGAGGAGCAGACAGGCTTCCGTGTCGGCGATACAGCGAGAACAAGCTAAACTCATCCTGAGCACACACAAACACTCACAGCCAAAGTAAAAACAATAGGTGTGGCTTGATATTGAGTAAGAAAAAGGTTTATAACGCTGTGAGCATGGGTCTGCGGAGAGCATTTCTCCGCGATCCCAACTTAGCAGCCCGAAAAACGTTTACCCATTTAAACAGTTGTGGTAGATACCTTGTTTGTTTTAAACATCATAAATACACAAACAACAATGAATACTTACAGGTTGTGTACCCGAATCTCCCGCTGGTCCAAACAAAGTAGGAACAGCATCGTTCTTCAGTGCCCTACGCTGTACATATCCGGCATGAATCCCTGCAATGTTTGGGAAGCTTTGTTTCGTGAAAGGCTGGCAGAGGGTGTGGCCTCTGGGTATCCCCCACGAGTACCCAGGAAGAAAATGAGAAATCTCCAACGAGGCGTTTTGGGGAGGTATTTTCTGTGTTAGAGTTTTACTCCCTACAGGGTGTACTTTGAGGGTTTGTGACTTTGCAGACCGTTTACATGCATAAAAACCTTCATAACACACAAGGGGACGGGTAATAACCGGAAAAGCATGACATGGGACCTTTAAAGAGTAAGAGACTGACCCTAAGCATCCTCCTGACATTTTTAAGAAGTAAAACTGCATCAGTTGTTCATCATATTCAAATGTTCTCCTTCAGTTTTGTAAAAAATAAAACAGAAGATTTTTTTGTTAATTCAAGAATTTTTTTTATTTTTCTATATGAACCTTCAGTTTGTTCACACATCTTGCCAGTGAGATATCTGAAATGACTCATATTCAGTTATATAATAAGCATAATCACAGCATTTGATTCTGTTTGAATCTCAGCTTTAAAATAAATAAATAATGATCTCATAATTATTACATTTGTGTACGTCAGATATATAAAAGAAATGTGGTTATAGATAGTTTTACAAACATCATTCAGTCAGAATTCAATTTCTTTATTTACTTTTAGTTACAAATCACTTAGAAATCTCGTGGCCCCGTGCAGTGAAAACATTAAATAAAATCAGCAACAATCATGGACAAAATAAATGTAGTAACATTACAAAAAAAAGATTTTAATCAACTTTCCCTTAAAGTACTTATCTGATTTAGCTAAATCCTGAACAAAGAGGGTTAGTACACGTGGTGCAGATCTCCTCTGTTCTGGAGACAACAAAAGCATACCTATGTTACCCATGATGCTTTGCGTGTGCCCACCTTTGTAAGCAGGAGTTAGTTTCTCCACTCCCACCTGGAGCCTCTCTGACCTCGGGGACCCCGCACTGGACTCCTTCACCCGGCGTGAGATTCCTGTCTGCACCCGTAATCGAGACTCCACCGGATACATGACGTTAGCGCCACGTTGCTAACTGTGCAAGGTAAACAACGGCCATAACTACACCTGAAACTACCTGTGAGTCCTCCACAGCACGCGGAGCTGACGTCAACAAGCCAGCATGCTGAGAAACGCCTCCCAGCTCGTGCACTTGTGAGGTTAACTGGTCTTAATATAACGTAAAGGGCTGCTTGTGTTGATTTAACGGCATTCATTGGACTTTTTTGTTGTGATATTTAAAAACAGCATGTTCTGCAGGTCTGCTCTGTGTGTGGAGTCCCTTCCGGTTCATGCTGTTTTCTCAGGACAGGAAATGCACGCAAGTATAGTTTACAAAATAAAACGTGTAGACACTTCCGGTAGAAGCAGATTATTGTAGATTTGACAACTTGGATTATATATTAGATGGTTGTGCATGGAAAGGTGCTCAGCTCAGACTAGTGCAGGGTAACAGTTAACCAGTACTAGTTAGATACTCAGCTACTACCCAGCCTGTAAAATCCAATCCTCCTTCCCATTGTCACCACTGCTGCAGCCCATTTATTTTCACAAATCAAAATTGTGTTCAGAAGTTGATTATTGTTTATTCTATCTCACAACTTTGAGAATGTTTTTTACACGGTGATGCGTGGAAATGTGCTCAGGATAGCCAGGGTAACAGGTTGGTTAAGCAGGGAATTGTAGTCCAGCAGCAAATCATTAGTCTGCCAGCTTTGTGGATCTCAACGGCACCAGTAAGATCATCTGCTAATAAACAGCCTGCACCGCCTGTTGCAAAAATCCTGCTCTTTTTCCTATTGTCACCACCGCTACACCCCCCACCCCCACCAAAACAGATAAACCTTTAACCTCCCTTTTTAAAACACACAAATCAGTGGCCATCATGGAGGCAATTGGAGCTAAGAGGCCAAAAGTCCACAGCATCAGTTCATGCTTTCTCTGCGATGACTGTCCCAACAACCTGGAGGCGTTACACCTCCTCCAGCACTACAAAGCAGCCAATGGAGAGGCCATCGACTCGGCTGCTTTGGACCCCTCGTTCGCTGCTCTGCTGAGCGGGGCAGGGGTTGTGCTTGAGGAGCCGCCTGTGGACGATCTCCTCTCACTCCTCAAGACGTACTTCGCCTCCAATGCCAACCCCAGCGAGAAGGAGCTGACAAAGATCTCAGAGTCTGTCAGTTTCCCCGTGGATGTGGTCAGAAAGTGGTTTGCAAAGATGAACTTTAGAAAAAATGTGGGCAAAGACGTCTCGAATAACAATGGACATGCAGAGGAGGACAGCTCACAAGAAATATCCAACATAGCCTCATCAGCAGATGCCCCGGGCTCCCTTCATAAACATATTTCATCACATATTTCATCACAGGGAACCACAGGGCCTTCCTCCTCGCAGCAGGAAAAGATCCTAAGGGGTCAAACCATCAACCCCCCTCAGATTGGAAAACATATCAACGTCATCACTGGCGCACAGCTGCGCTCATTAGCAGTGCTCCATAAGAGTGCTTCATGTTCAGCCAAAGAGAGGAAGAAGAGACGGCTGGAAAACAATCCGTACCCATGTGACCTTTGCTACAAAGTCTTCAAAGCGGTCTCCAGTTTGCTCAGGCACAAATATGAACACACAGGTAAGCCTTACATGGCTCATGCATAGTAATGTATTACTCAATTAAGCATATTGTGACTTAAAATAACACCTTTCAAATCTCTGTGCTGAATAAATGCTGGTGTTGACTTCATATATATATTTATATTTATATCATTTTTTTAAAGAGCAGATTATGTTGCAAGACCAATCTGTAAGTAATGTAGATGAAGTAAACTATATACATGTCAGAAAAATAAATAAATACAATAAGCTAAATAATACAGAGAATGTTGTAATGACCAAGTAATCACATGTTATACTCGAGCTGTTTTCTTATAAGAACTACTGAACACACTGAAATACATTTAAAAAAATGCTCACCACATTTTCCCAAAGCCCAAGACGATGACATTACATTTTTTTACTTTCATATGGCCAACATGCCAAAACCGAAATAAAAATGTGTGAAAGCTCACATTGAACAGTTATTTTCTGTCAATCAACTAATGAGTGTGTCAGGTAATTGTTTCAGTTTTTAAATGTTTGAATAATTTCTGGGGAAATCTAAATGAACACAAGTTTGGGTAGCAGTCTTCTATGTTAACGTGTTCAGTTTTAGTTATAGGTGTTTACTCTACTACTTAATTTTGTCTCAGTTTTGTTGGTGTTGTTTTTCAGACAGGCGCAGTATGAGTCTGACTCTCTGTTCTCCTATTTTCAGGAAAACGACCATTTGAATGCAAAGTCTGCAAGAAGGCCTTCAAACACCAACACCACCTGATCGAACACGCAAGGGTGCACTCCGGGGAGAAACCCTTTCAGTGCGACAAGTGCGGGAAGCGTTTCTCTCACTCTGGATCGTACTCCCAGCACAACTCTAGACGCAACTCTACCCGCTGCACGAAGATCCGTCCTGACTCTGACACGGTTCGAGACCTCGCAGAGGGTCACTCCTCAGACCTGCATGTACCGCAGTTTGACGCTTGGACTACGACCCCAACTGGACTCAGATGAGAGGGGAAGGTACAAGAGAAAGTTCACGACTTCTTCTGTGATGCTATGGAGATCCAGCTGGAGGACGACAGGTGAGACAACGGCACAACCTGGAGAGGAATAGATGACAAACGGCAAATTAAAGATATTCTTTTGGAGTAAAGTGGAGCTAGAATGATGTCACCGCTTTCTACAAAAGCCACATGTGCCTGAACTTGAGAAAACAAAACAGTGAGTTTTGTGGTGGCAATGACATTTTTCTTTTTTTAAATAGGGACACATATTTTTCAAGCAGAACTTACAAAGTAGGCTACCTTATTATACAGTATGTGTAACTAACACAACCCCAGGTTGTTTTATGTTTTTTTGTTTTTCTCATTGGGTCAGTCTCCAGGTACAAATTAAAGCCTGACTCCACCACGACTGTTTTTAAAATGTCAAGCCAACAAAAAAATGAGGAAGAGAGTCAAACGCAAAAGCAAACATAAGAATGTATCACCGGGTGGCGCTAGAAGACCACCCAACTCAGAAGTCTGAAGACCACAATCAGCGCTAATCATTCACAGTTCATTGAGTTATGAGCCAGGATTATATATTTGCAGTGTTGGAAAGTAACTAAGTACAATTACTCAAGTATTGTAATTTAGTAAATATGTTGATGCTTGTACTTCACTATATTTAAAAGAGAAATAATGTGATTTTGCTACATTTATTAAACAGCTTTAGTCACTTTTCAGATTTAAAAACGTGATGAACTTGATGTAAAAATTAAATGAGTGGACTAACTGTTTAAGGAACAACAAAGTACAAGTATACAATATATATCACAAGACGCTCTAAACATCGTAAAGTTGATCAAAACTGTGATTATCTACAACCGTTACAACCTGCTTGATGCAGCAATATTAGCAATCTAATGTCATACTGTATATTTAATTATGTATATCGCATATGGAGAATGTTTTTTAAAGTACTTTGAGTGTAGTGGCTGTCAGCACTTTGTCAGCAGAATACACCATGCATCTGTTGAACTGTAATTCTTATGGACTTTTTAACAGGAATGAAATTGCTTGTCCCAAATAAAACCAGTAGGTGGCAGTGGAGGTCTGACCTGTTGCTTTTGTTAGCTTCAGGTTTGTTCTGAGAACCCTGTCTTGAAGAAGTACTCCAATGTTTCAGACCTTAATGGATTATTACTAAAGGAAGACGCCAACGGCCTTTTATCAAAGAAGTGCTTTAGTTTAAAATATGAAAGTGCCTGGAATAAAATAAAAGAAGAGCCATCATTTGTTTGGAGAAAGTGCTTAAGTGGTACATTTTACATGCCTGAGCCTTTTCTTTAAGTTAAAGTGGACCTATCATGCTATATTTAAATGATATATTGTAGGGCCATACCTATATAAGGTATATTTATACGTTTCTGTTTTCAAAATACCAAACAGATCATGCATTTTAGCCATGCCTCATTTCGCTCTATGTGCCGTTTGCTGTCTACGGGTCTGATTCTGCTGACCACGCCCCCCTGCAGGAGAGGGGAGACGTGCTCTGATCAGCTGCTGGGCTGTCAGAAGAGGGGGAGAAAAAGAGATCTCCGTCCTCCGTGTTTTATTATATAGAGTCGTTATTCATTTGTTTTAAAGCTCAATAAATAACAAAGAAGACCTTTGACCGGCACTTTTCTAATTTTGTCCGGAAGATTTAAACTTTAACGGACATCTTGACCGGCGAAAGAAACTGAAACTCTGCCGCACGGTCCCCTCGTTCCTTGGAAGAGGCGGAGAGGTGGGTGTTTGTCATCTGCTGGTGGACTAACCGGAGAGAATTACAGTGCTTGCCTCGACGGGGAGGGATTGCATTGAATTAAAGCAGCGGGAGCAAACGCTTGCCTCGGGGAGGGAGAAAAAAAGCCACAGCGGAGAATAAACAGAAGGGTAACCATGGTAACTATGGGCGGGAAGTCTTCTTCGCTGCTTTTGTGGCAGACTACAGCGCCACTTACAGGCCTGGCATATGCACTACAGCGTCTCCAGCGCTTTCGAGCGGCAATGGCCGGCCGGGGCCCAACCCCACATTCCCCTGATAGGTGGAGAGTTGGCCCAATAGCCGTAGCGCCACTTCTGTGACGACATAGAAGTGTTCAAATCTGGATCAGTCTGTATCAGATCCGTTGCAGCCCCTTTTTTTGAGATTTGGGTATGGAGGAAAATAGAGAGGGTTGTGTTTTCTGACACTTGGTGAGTTCCCTGGAACACCGGGGACACATATTCATGTATAAAAGACGTACAAAAGTGCATTTTGCATGATAGGTCCCCTTTAAGAACAAACTTTAAAGTTGGTGTTAAAAGCCCCCTTTATGCTTTTGGGGGTTTTCCCTTTCATGTGTTATAGGTTTGTCTGCAAAGGCTGAACTCCCAAAGTTGTGCCTGTCTCTCCTCCAGTGTTGGTATCAGCAGTAGGGGGCGCCAAATGGAATTGTAAACTTGCAGTGACTTCTAGTCAAGTAAAAATGACCCTTGACTTATTAAAGGTGATATTTACCTGCTGTTTGTTCGTTTATATAAGTAAAATAACACCCATTACTATAAAGTTGTGAACTTAATATGAACACACACATTAATGTCATGAGATGAGCTCGGTATTTGTTAATGTTTAATCTCATGTAAGACTTAAAAGTTTATGACATAGACTTATGACTGAGTGCTAAATGTTAAATATTAATACCGAGACTCTTTCTCTTGGTTTATAAAGTCCACTCCTTTCTCATTCATTCAGCACTTAAACTAAAACACAACTTAGTGACTTTTATTTATTTAAATCAGACAGAGATATACAGGCTCACCAAATAATGTCTCCTTTAATTGATCTTTTTGTGTATCATGTATCCCTCTAAAACACACTTGGTGAACTTACAGGTGTTTCCACTTGTGCTGTAAATACATTTAGTCCTCAGAAGATGGCTTATCTGTTTGATTGACACTTCAGGGTCAGGACACTCCCTCTCAGTTCATGGATTTATTGACATGTGACTACAGCTACTCCTAACTTCAACCTGACGACTGGTTTAACCGGCCAGAGGAGTAGAAAACATTCTTCCTCCCTAAAGAAATATTTCAAGAGTCCCTGCAGTACAGTCTGTAGCTTTGAGAAAGGCCTGCATGGATCTTGAACAAGTATTAGCCTTAAGTCCAGCTGCTTCCCGCCTAATGGCATCAATTCTATTTTTGCACAAACTAAACAAAAACTTTATTCTTGTGAACTGGAAAGTAAGAAAGGCCAACTGTTTCAAGTGAAATGGAGGAGTGTCTAACCTTAAAGGGGCACTATTCTTCTTATTTTCAGGTTCATATTTGTATTTAGTGTCCCTGTCCCTACTGCAGTGTTTCTCAAAGTGGGGGGGCGCAGAGGCATGACAGGGCGCGAGAGACTAAGAGGAAAAATTGTTATGACAATTCCGAGTCACTGAGTGAGGATTTGCTGTTTTGCAAGTATGTCAAACGCAGAGCAACAGCTGATGAGCTCTTCGGAATTCTTGACAGTTAATTATACTAAAATAGATTTATATTGTGCAATTTTCCAAACTCACATTGGTTTCTCATACAGCATCTCTGTAAAGTATGTGTATTCACCAGTGTTCACCCTCTGTCCTAAACGGCTTGTTGGAGCTCCTAACCCCCCCTCCCTCTGAGCCCAGTGTGCTCTGATTGGTCGGGACGTTGCGAGGCTCGCTGCTCACTGAGCTGGTTTACTGGTGTGGTTTCCGGGTCGGCGATACAGTGGGACAGCGCGAAACTCATCCTGAGCACACACAAACACTCACAGCCGAAGTAAAAACAATAAGTGTGGCTTGCTATTGATATTGAGTAAGAAAAAGGTTTATAAACGCTGTGAGAATGGGATTGCGGAGAGCATTTCTCCGCAATCCCAACTCGTCTATTACCAACCAGGGGACTGTGAGGAGCTCCGCAGATTGGTCCATTTTGGTTCCGGGAACTGCATGACGTCATGCGGTTCCCGGAAGAAACAAATGGAAAAAGAGAAATCTCCAACGAGGCGTTCTGGGGCAGCATAGACAGGTCTTTTCTGTGTTAGAGTTTTACTCGCTACAGGGTGTACTTTGAGGGTTTTTGACTCTGCAGACCGTTTACATCAGGGGTGTCAAACTCAATTTCATCACGGGCCACATCAGCATTATGGTTGCACTCAAAGGGCCGGTTGTAACTTTAAGACTATATAAAAAGACATATATAAATATTGAATATAATAATGTATTATATTACATTATTGCCTCTGCATTGGATTATTATCGGATAGGGTAATAACTTCATAATTAACTACGTCTGAAAGCAGAAGTCTAGGGCAAGTAATTGCAAGTCTCTTCAGTGTGTATGTCACAATATGATTTTAAAAGAAAAGCCATATTCTGGAAAAACAAAAAAAAAGAAGTGACATTTTGAAAAAAAAATCTATTTATGAGAAAAAGGCTAATTTTAAGGAAAAAGGCATATTTTGACAAAAGTCAAATTCTGAGAAAAAATGCATACTGTATGTTGAAGAAAAAAAGTCAAATTCTGAGAAAAAGTCAAATTTGAGATGCATTGTGGGACATGTCGTTTATGGGCAACGTGCTTCTGTAAAGTAGCATGTAACCGTATAATAAACAAATTATATTCTTTGCAAGCTCTTGTGGGGCCACAGAAAATGAAGTCGCGGGCTGGATTTGGCCCACGGGCCTTGAGTTTGACACCCCTGGTTTACATGCATAAAAACCTTCATAACACAAGGGGACAGGTAATAACCGGAAAAGCATGACATGGGACCTTTAAGACAACTGTGCTATAGTTCCTTGTAGAGATGATCAATATGCATTGTCCCTGAGGGTAAATACATTTATAAAATGTTAAAAATGAGCCGCACCTTAACCCCTTCAGCAGTAAAATCCGGTTTTTACAGCGTTAGTGGTTTGACTGGATGTCTCTGTTGGAGGCGGCTGGAGGCCTCTTTCATATTTGTTCATATTGTCATTGTTAAATATGGATGTTGTAATGTTATGTTGTTTATTGTGTAACTCCACATCCATCACATGTGTGTCCTCAGTCTCTCTCCCTGAGGTTTCTAACATGTTCCTCCTTTCATTTCTTTTGGGGAGTTTCTCCTCTTCTGCTGCAAGGGTCTAATCACAGCATATTAAGATGGAACATTGGTAATATGTGGTATTTGGATATTTCAATAAAAAGCGATTATATTTAAATGATAATAATTATTAGTTAACAGCAGACCAGAGGCCTGTACTACGAAGCTGGTTCAACCTAACCTGGATATGTTTGAGTTAGACGGTTGGCCCAATCCAAAACATACGCGCTCTGGCTAAACTGTACTACGACGCTGGTTATCAAGTGGATCGCTCAAGCCAGCCGTGTCCTATCTAGTTAGGTGCGCGTTCACATGAAAGGGGTGGTATTTGGAGCATTCGACCAATCTCAAACACGGAAAAGCGTACTGACAGCGCAGCGTCATACTTCCTGAATGAAAAGTGAACTTTAATATTAGTCAAATATGAAGAAGTTAAACTTTAAACATCCATGACTTAAACACTTTATCCAGGATAAAAGCCACATAGCTGCACCTGCAAGGTGAATACAGCTGGTAAAAGAAAAAGTGTTTGAATGCGTACATTAACAGGTTTATGAAATC